CTCTGCCCGGTGCTGCCGTTGTCCCACCACACTCACAGCCTTCCTGTGGCCACCACGAAGCCAGGCAGTGTGATGGTCTAAGGGTAGAGGAGCAGGAGGTGACTTGCAGCTGGGTAGTCATTGGGCAGTCATATATGGTGCACCTGAAATTCTAGGGTCAGGTTTGGGTGAGAAAAGGGACATGGAGGGGCTGGAGCGTGTCCAGGGAAGGGCCATGGAGCTGGGGAAGGGGCTGGAGCAGAAGGAGAAGGGGCTGGAGAACTTGTGAGGAGCAGCTGAGGGAGCTGGGGGTGCTGATCCTGGAGCAAAGGAGGCCGAGGGGAGACCTGCTGGCTCTGCAGCTGCTGAGAGGAGGTTGGAGCCAGGGGGGTCGGGCTCTGCTCCCCAGGAACAAGCCCTGGGCCAAGAGGGAACGGCCTCAAGTTGTGCCAGGGGAGGTTGAGGTTGGATCTGGGGAACAATTCCTGCCTGGCAAGGGTTGTCAGGGCCTGGCCCAGGCTGCCCAGGGCAGGGGGGGAGTCCCTATCCCTGGAGGGGTTTCCAAGCCCTGGAGATGGTGCTGAGGGACATGGGGCAGTGGTGGCCTTGGCAGGGCTGGGGAATGGGTGGGCTGGAGATCTCAAAAGTCTCTTCCATCTAAAATGATCTGATGGTTCCATGTGGATTCACACACACCTTGGGAACTGCAGAAGAACCCCTGTCTTACCAAGTCTTTTATTTCTCTCTCCTCAGGAGAACACGGTGCCCCACAGCAGCAGGACTGTTCCCCAGAGACCATGGAGATGAGTGGACCCCCTCAGAACAAGCCAAGCAACACAGGAAGCGACCTGAGTGCAGGTGAACACAAGGAGATGGGTGGGAGTAACTTCATAGCTGGAGTCTTCATCCAGGCCATGAACAAGAAGATGAGCATCTATGATGCCATGATGAGGGGGCTGCTGACCCCAGGTACAGCCCTGGTGCTGCTGGAAGCCCAGGCTGCCTCCGGGTTCCTCACCGACCCCGTGAGGAACCAGAAGCTGTCGGTGACAGAGGCACTGGCTGCAGGACTCATCGGGAGAGATTTTTATGACAAGCTGCTGTCGGCGGAAGGAGCCGTGAGGGGCTACACCGAGCCCTACACCGGGCTCAAGATCTCCCTCTTCCAGGCCATGAAGAAGGAGTTCATTGTGAGGGAACACGCCATCCGCCTGCTGGAGGCCCAGATCGCCACGGGCGGCATCATCGACCCCCAGCTCAGCCACCGTGTCCCCGTGGAAGTCGCCTACCAGAGGGGCTACTTCGACCAGGAGATGTGCCAGTTTCTTTCTAACCCCAAGAACCAAACGAGAAGCTGCTTCGACCCCAACCCCCACGAGAACCTCACGTACCTGCAGCTGCTGCGCCGCTGCGTGCCCGACCCGGACACGGGGCTGCTGATGCTGCACGTGCTGGACCAGGGCTCGGTGCTTCACCAGCTCAACAAGGAGGCCCGCAAAGCCCTGCAGGCCGCCCGCACCACCCTCAGCGTGGGGCTCTTCCAGGGCCAGAGCGTCACCGTCTGGGAGCTCCTCTTCTCCCGCTACGTCCCCGACCACCAGAGAGAGGAGCTGCTGAGGAGATACAAGGCAGGGACGGTGTCCATCCCGGAGATGATCACCATCCTCACCACCATCATCACCGGGGCAGAGATGGAGCACGGGGACCTGGGCTCACCCACAGGGACACCCAACAGTGAGGTGGAAGCACCTCAAGCTGTTCAGGTTATGCACGCCCAGGAGCAACAGTTGAGGAAGTCCTTGAAGTCTGCAACCATCCATGTCACTGCTGGCGAGTTCCAGGGGCAAAACGTTTCCCTGCTGGATCTGCTCTTCTCCAGGCACATCCCCCAGGGGAGGCGGCAGGAGCTGCTGGAGCTGTACAGGGCAGGGATACTGACCACGGAAGAGGTGGCTGCTGTGGTCACCACCAGCATCAACAGAGCAGGCGTGGCAAATGCCACCCTCACGGCCCATGCCAGAGGTCCACACATGGTGGGGACAGGGGCAGAGGAAACTGGAGATGAATTTTCAACACAAGATGCACGACTAGATAACATCTTGAAATCCACCACCACGGAGGTGTCAGCTGGTGAGTTCCAGGGGAGACAGGTCTCTGTGTGGGACCTGCTCTTCTCCAGCTACATCCCCGAGGAGAAAAGACAGGAGCTCCTGGACATGTTCCATGAAAGGCTATTAACTCTGGAGCAGATGACAACAGTTGTCACCACTCTCGTTAAGAAAAAAGAATCTACGGGCAGGAAATTCCTAATTACAGTCAAGGCTTCCAACAAGGACACAGTGTCAGCAGCAGGAGAGAAGGAAGATGACTCCTCTAAAGAAGAAACATGGGAAACAGCCCTGAAAAACACAACTGTTGAGATGGATGTTGGAAAGTTCCGGGGCCACAAGGTCTCTGTCTGGGACCTGCTCCACTCCAAGTACATCCCCAAGGAGACCAGAAAGGAGCTGCTGGAGCTGTACCAGGCAGGAGAGCTGACCCTGGAGCAGGTGAAGACCGTGGTCACCACCATTGTCACCAAGGCAGAAGCAGCAAAGAACAAGCAGTTGGCAGATGAAAGCCCAGGAGCAGAGGAGACAGTTCTTGAAGCTGAGCACACCCACCTGCAGGACAGGACCTGGGAGGAGACCCTGAGGTCCACCACGGTCGAGATGTCTGTGGGAGAGTTCCAGGGGAGACAGGTCTCTGTGTGGGACCTGCTCTTCTCCAGCTCCATCCCTGAGGAGAAGAGGCAGGAGCTCCTGGGGCTGTACCGTGCAGGGGCAGTGGCCTTGGAGCAGTTAGTAACTGTTGTCACCACTCTCGTTAAGAAAAAAGAGTCTACAGGCAGAAACCTCCTAATTACAGTCAAAGCTTCCAACAAGGACACAGTGTCAGCAGCAGGAGAGAAGGAAGATGACTCCTCCAAAGAAGAAACATGGGAAACAGCCCTGAAAAACACGACTGTTGAGATGGATGTTGGAAAGTTCCGGGGCCACAAGGTCTCTGTCTGGGACCTGCTCCACTCCAAGTACATCCCCAAGGAGACCAGAAAGGAGCTGCTGGAGCTGTACCAGGCAGGAGAGCTGACCCTGGAGCAGGTGAAGACCGTGGTCACCACCATTGTCACCAAGGCAGAAGCAGCAAAGAACAAGCAGTTGGCAGATGAAAGCCCAGGAGCAGAGGAGACAGTTCTTGAAGCTGAGCACACCCACCTGCAGGACAGGACCTGGGAGGAGACCCTGAGGTCCACCACGGCCGAGATGTCCATGGGAGAGTTCCAGGGGAGACAGGTCTCTGTGTGGGACCTGCTCTTCTCCAGCTACATCCCCGAGGAGAAAAGACAGGAGCTCCTGGACATGTTCCATGAAAGGCTATTAACTCTGGAGCAGATGACAACAGTTGTCACCACTCTCGTTAAGAAAAAAGAATCTACGGGCAGGAAATTCCTAATTACAGTCAAGGCTTCCAACAAGGACACAGTGTCAGCAGCAGGAGAGAAGGAAGATGACTCCTCTAAAGAAGAAACATGGGAAACAGCCCTGAAAAACACAACTGTTGAGATGGATGTTGGAAAGTTCCGGGGCCACAAGGTCTCTGTCTGGGACCTGCTCCACTCCAAGTACATCCCCAGGTGAACAGGATCACCAACACCACCACGGTCACCACGGGCCCGCAGGGGCCCCGCCGGGGTCTCTAGGGGCAGAGCCCCCCGGGGCGGTGCCGGAGCCAGCGCCAGTCCAGGAGGAACCAGGGGGACAGTCGAGATAAACCACGGATAAACCACTTGCTGCTCAACTGCTGCTGTGCCGGCGTCTCCTTGCACGGCCGAGCCCCCCGGGCTGGGGGTCCTGGGGGGGCTCCAGGAGGGGCTGGTCCCGGGACACGCGGCACTGAGCGGGAGCAGGAGACGGTGGGAACCTGCCCGGGGGATGGAGAGCAGGAGAGCTGGGGGCACGGCCCTGTGGCACGAGTGTGTGTCACTGGGCGGTGAGTGTGTCACAGAGGTGTGTGTGTCACTGAGCTGTGAGTGTGTCACTGAGCTGTGTGTGTCACTGGGCTGTGAGTGTGTCACAGAGGTGTGAGTGTGTCACTGAGCTGTGTGTGTGTCACTGAGCTGTGTGTGTCACTGGGCTGTGTGTGTGTCACAGAGCTGTGTGTGTCACTGAGCTGTGAGTGTGTCACAGTGGTGTGAGTGGGTCACTGAGCTGTGTGTGTCACAGAGCTGTGTGTGTCACTGAGCTGTGAGTGTGTCACAGAGCTGTAAGTGTCACAGGTCTGCATGTGTCACAGAGCTGTGAGTGTGTCACAGAGCCATACGTCACAGCCATGCACACACGTGTGGGCAGAGCTGCCATGGGGGGCATGTGGGGACACACGCAGGGCACACCCACGGTGAGGGTGTCTGTCTGGGTGTCCGTGTGTCTGTCTGTGTCTGCCTGTGCAACACCAGCCCTGGCTGTGACAGCGTGTGACACGCCTGCTGCCACCTGCAGGCACCATGAGCCCCAGCCCATCCCGCATTCCCATCCCTCATTCCCATCCCTCATTCCTATCCCAAATGCCCGGGGAAGGGATGGGAGCAGGGGGAAGGGTTTCCAGCTGGCAGAGGGAGCTGGAGCTGAGATGGGAGGGAGAAATTCTGGGCTGTGAGGGTGGGGAGAGCCTGGCCCAGGTTGCCCAGAGAAGCTGTGGCTGCCCCATCCCTGGGGGTGTTGAAGGGCAGGTTGGATGGGGCTTGGAGCAGCCTGGGCTGCTGGGAGGTGTCCCTGCCCATGCAGGGGGGCACTGGGTGGGCTTTGAGGTCCCTCCAACCCATGAAAGGCTGAGAGAGCTGGGTCTGTTTAGCCTGGAGAAGTGAAGACTGAGAGGGGACCTTACCAGTGCTTACAAATATCCAAAGGTTGGGTCCAAAGGATGGGGCCAGACTCCTTTCAGTGCAGCCCAGCAACAGGACAAGGTGCCTTGGGCACCAGATGGGACACAGGAAGTTCTATCTGACCATAAGTGGAGGCTGAGGTTGGATCTGGGGAACAATTCCTGCCTGGCAAGGGTTGTCAGGGCCTGGCCCAGGCTGCCCAGGGCAGGGGAGGAGGCCCCATCCCTGGG